CATGCCAGGCACATGTGTGTGAGTACCCAAAACCCTGAGAGGAGAATGGAGAAGGGATTGTGGTGTGGCCATCTCTCCTGGGGAGTGATTTCTCACTGACTGTCTCTCTGTCTCTCTCTGGTGAGCACACATACCCTATAGCAACTCTCTCAAAAATAAAAAAAAAAGAACTATTTTTAAATGGAGACTGGTAGTAAACTAGAGGAAAAATCCCATTACAATAAGGTGTTCTCATATACACATCACACAGCTGGAAAACCACAGCTCTCCTCTGTAAGTTCTGTTGTCTATAAAGAATCGAGTATCAGAACTATGTCAGGCATAATGGAGTAAAAGGAAGAGAATGGCATGGCATCTGAAAGAAGCTCTGAGGCTCTTACAGAGCTTTTGGTTGTTCTTGCACTGAGACCGTCGATGTCCAAACCTAATTATGTTACTGGTATCATCCAAAGACTTTTTTTTTTTGAGAGGTTTTTTTCGCAATACGGCGTGCACACTCGCCAGACAGACAGAGAGAGACATAGAGACAGAAAGCGAGAAATGACCCCCCAGAGGGGATGGTCATGCCACAATCCCCTCTCCTCCATTCTCCTCCCGGGATCTTGGGCACACACGCACGCACACGTGCCCGGTGTGAGTTTTAAGCCACCAGGTCCGGGATGCGAACCGCGAACTGCTGGGTCCCTCATCCAAAGACTCTTGAGGGGGAGGAGAGAGCTCCCAGTATCCGGGTGGGAAATTCCCAGAAAAACTCCATTCTTCTATCTAAGCAAAGTGTAGAGGTTATGCCCTCTTGGGATTTTTCAATTCATCATCAAATTTGCTTTAAGATGATACAGAACAATGATAGGACAAAAATATGGGCATTCAGCCTCAGAAATTAGGTCAAGCTTGAAAGGAAGCAAGCAGACGAGTACTTCAACTGAAACCCGAATGCAGTTCTTAGCATCATACTGTAATGAATCCGGCGCTGCTACCCATCAGGAGCCGCAGCTACTGGCCCGCAGTCATTATCTCCATCAGAACTTAAAACCTGGCTCCCCCAGTGCTCTGTTCTTGGCTTACCATCGACAATCCATTAGGAATTCCAGCATCGAATGACATATGCAAGACTGTTAGCCATGTCTATAGAAAGAATATTCAGATATCTTTTTTTTTTTTTAACTTTATTTATTTATTTATTTATTTATATTTGACCAGAGAGGGACAGAGTGAGAGAGAAAGGGAAAGTGAGAAAGTAAGCCGCCAGGTCCAGGACTTGCGCCGCAGTCAGCCATGTGGGAGTCCAGCACCCTTAACCACCGTGCCACCTGCCGGCCCTTAGATATCTTTTCTTTTTAAAAAAATTTTTTAATTTACTTATCCCATTGTCCCGGCCCTGGGGACAGTCGAACAGATTTCCTGAGGGAAGGAGTGAGAGACAGGACAAATAACGCAGTGTTTGCATCAGGGTCGTCCGTTTATTGTGGGCAGCATGGAGATGACACCGTGTTACAACTCTTCAGGGTCTTCAGGGTCGTCTGGAGACGACGCAGTGTCACAGCTCTTCAGGGTCATCTGGTGATTGTGGGCCAGGGTTCATGGTTATATACATGTTGGTGGGCAGTGATTGGTTGAATGAAGGATTGTAAAAGGTGGGTTATGATTGGTTGCTTTTGTGGACCAATCATGAGGTGTCAGATATACAAATCTGGGGGATTCTAAGCTCACCGATTTGCTATGGGAAGTGGCCAATCAGAGTATGGTTTTGAAGGTGAGGTTTTGAAGGGAGTCAATCATGGCCTTTGTCATGTGTAATTGTTTGCTCTATGAGAAACCGGTGATATTCACTGGTGTGCAGCCTCCCACATCCCATGAGTGAGACAGGAAGACATAAAGACCCCCAACCTTGGCTAGCCCAGATCATAGGCACACTTGGGCCTGGAGTACTCAGGGTAGTCTCCAGCTCTATCTGGGCAACCCTCCCACATAGGATTGCCCTATAGAACACTGGGTTCTACCACTGTGCCACTTCTCGACCCTGAGAAGTATTCTCTGTAGAGTAGTACAAGTGGAAGACACCTTACATGTACATTATCCTGTCTATATTTTTCACATTTCATTTTTGACAGAGTAATTTTTCCATATATAATCATATATATAAATATATATATATATATGCACACACACAATATTTTATATATACAAATATATTATACACATGTATTATATATAACATATATATATATATACACACACACACACACACACACATTCTATCTACCTATCTATAGTATAGCACATAAAGCAAAATGCTGTGGCAGAGAGGTGCCTGAGCTCCAGTAGGGCCTTCTTAACGGTTGTGTAAAATATGAATGGCATCGGGACCAGCAGTTAGTGTAATGGCTCTGTCGCTGAACTCCCACGTGGTCAACCACGGTTCGTCCCGGATCCAATGGCTTAAACTCATGCTGGGCGTGTGTGTGTGTGTGTGTGTGCCCAAGATCCCAAGAGGAGAATGGAGGAGAAGGGATTGTGGTGTGGCCATCCCCCGGGGGGTGATTTCTCACTTTCTATCTCTGTTCGTCTTTCTAAAAAAAAATTTTTTTTTGGAGTGGCATCAAATTAAATAATAAAGCTAAAAAAATAACTCTTAAAAAAAAAAGGAGCCAGCAGATGGCATGGACTCCTAGAGTCGACCACAGTTCAAGTCCCAGACCTGGTGGCTTGCTTCCTTACTCTCCCTCCTTTCTCTCTTGCTCTGTCTCTCTCTGGTCAAATTAAAATAAAAAATAAATAGTTAAATAAAATAATTTTTCCAGGTTTATAATTTATTATACAAATTGAGTATCACATAATGAACTGACACTAGCTTCTCCAGGCATGGGAACTTAGATGAGGTTTGGACGTTTGACTCCATTTATGATGCTTTCATAGCTGGAGTTTTCTTAGATCTTAACTTGAAGTATAAGATCGTCAAAACAATGCCTCCGTACAATTCATTCTACCTGTGACAGTATAAAAGTTGAAGTACTTTTTAACACCAGTGAACTGGAACTGGGCATCAACTTTTGGACCTGCCATGATTTCAATCTTGCAAACCCACTAAACCCGCAGATGGTGTCCTTCAACGCAGGCAGCCACCTCTTGGCCCAGCCAGAAGAAGCAACCTTAACCAACCTCTAAATAAAATAATTCTAAAAATAAAAAAATGAGTGGCACAGGGACTAGCAGGTGGCATAGTGGTTAAGGTGTTGGACTCCCAGATGGTCAGCTGTGGTTTGAGCCCTGAACATGGCAGCTTAAAATTCATGCCAGGCATGTGTGCATGCGAGCCCAAGATCCCGGGAGGAGAGCAGAGAAGGTATTGCAGTGTGACCATCCCCCAGTGGGGGTGATTTCTCACTATCTTTCTGTCTCTGTCTCTCCAGCAAGCATACCTGTCCTATGGCAAAAATCCTTAAAATAAATAAAGAGCTGCACAGTTCTGACCAGTCACTTCCTAGTATTATAAGCTTTCTTTCTCTTTTTTAAAAAACATTTCCATTTTTTTTTGAGGTTTTCGCTATAGGGCGCGTGCGCTCACCAGACAGACAGAGAGAGACAGAGAGACAGAAAACGAGAAATCACCCCCCAGAGGGGATGGTCACGCCACAATCCCTTCTCCTCCATTCTCCTCTTGGGATCTTGGGCACGCATGCACATGCGCCCAGCGTGAGTTTTAAGCCACTGGGACACGAACCACGGTCAACTACGTGGGAATTCAGCGACATAGCCATTACGCTAACTGCTGGTTCCTCCATTTTATTTTTCTAAAAATTATTTATTTTATTTACCCATTCATTTATTTTCATTTCACCAGAAAAAAAAAAATATATATATATAGAGAGAGAGAGAGAGAAAGAGACAGTGAGAAAGCAAGACGCCAGGTTCAGGACTTGAACCATGGTCGGCCATGTGGAAGTGTCCACCTTAACCACCATGCCACCTGCTGGTCCCTCTTTTTTTTTTTTTTTTTTAAGGGATTTTTGCTATAGGGTGTGTGGGTATGTGTGCTGTCCAGATAAAGGCAGTGAGAGAGAAAGTAAGAAATCACCTCCTAGGGGGATGGCCATGCTGCACTCCCCTCTCCCCTGGGATTTTGGGCATGTGCACGCACATAGATGCCCAGCCTGAGTTTCAATCTGCTAGTCCAAGACTCAAACCATGGTCAGGTCAGCCACATGGGAGTCCAGCACCTTAACCACTCACTACACCACCTGCTGGCCCCTAAGTAAGTAAATCTTTAAAAAAAAAAAAAAGACTTGAATATTTTCACAGTTCTTGCTAGATAAGACAGGGTCAGTTATTGGTACAAAATTAAAATAAAAATGACAGGGATCAGCAGTTAGTGTAATGGCTATGTTGCTGGGCTCCCCACTATTAGTTGACCGCGGTTCGAGCACCGGACCCAGTGGCTTAAACTCACGCTGAGCACGTATGCGTGCATGCCCAAGATCCCGAGAGGAGAATGGAGAAGAAGGGATTGCAGCATGGTCATCCCCTCTGTCTCTCTGTCTCTCTCTGTCTTTCTGATGAGCGTACGCGCCCTATAGCAAAAACCTCTCCAAAAAAAAAAGACAGAAAAAGAAGTAATTTTCCCAAGATTACAGTCAGTAAGACAAAAAAAGATATGTATACCACTCTATACAAATCATGCTCCTGTTTCTTTTTTAAAAAAAATTTCCAAAAGAGTGTGAACACTCACTGAAAGGAGAGAAAGTAAGAAAGCACCTTCTAGGGAGGCTGGCCACACCACAATCCCTTCTACTCAATTCTCCTCCCAGTATTTTGGGCATGCATGCATATGCACCCAGAGTTTTTTATTTTCAAGCCACCAGGTCTGGGACTAGAACTATACATTGGCAGTGTGGGATCCAGCCACCTTAACACCAAGCAACCAGCTGGCCCAACCTACTGTTTTCTTTACATAGCACAAGGTACAGGAAATGGATGGTATTGAACCAACTAAGTATCAGCAGTGGGTTTTTAAAAAATCAGCTTTATTACGTATTTTTTGCACCATAGTCAACAACAATTCACAGAATGGGTCACTTCCAGTCACTCAAGAGTGTCAATGAACACCTCTTGGCCCCCCAGAACACATACCCTCACAAGATATTCAGCATCGAGGAATGGATCCACGGCCACTGTCTCTTTAGCCTAATTAGAATGAGTCCTTTCATAAGATAAATCTCGGCTCTTACTTGAATAGCCAAGCTCTGGGTATTTTGCAATGGCCTTAGTCAAATTTGTCGTCATTCATTATTCAGAACATGCGAGAAATTATAAAAGCCTCAATTCCTTCCTAACACCTTTATTTAACCCTGATCCGGTTTTAGATGCTCAGCCTTATGTATAATATCGAGAGACCTATCTCAGCACATCTACATTTCCTGTTGGTTTTTTAAATCATTTTCCAGTGGACACATGTGCTTGCTAGAGGGGCAGGCAGGAGTGAGAAAGCACCTCCCCCCAAGGGGGATGGTCATGCTGCAATCCCTTCTCCTCCACCTCCTCCCTCCTTTCAGGATTCTGGGTACACATGCCCATGTGCCTGCTGTGTTTTTCAGGTCACCCAGGCTGGGAGTTGAACAGCACTGTCGGAGGGATCCAGCTTCCTTAACCATGCCACTGGCTGGCTCAGGTCCACCTTAGTTCCAAATGAAAAACAAAAAGGCAACTGCTCTGGCTCATGCATACCCAACCACTTGAAGGTGCAAATGCCAAATTAAAGAGGACAAGGAGTGCTCCTTAGTTCAACATTAATCTTATTCCCATCCCTAATCCCAGATAGTCAGCTATCTCTGACGGAAATCTGGGACTCAGCCTACGTCCACATCACACATTTCCTCTAGAAACGGAGAGAATTACTCACAGCCTGAGACACACAACTGTAACCGAGACTTGCATTTAAGCATTTAGGCCTCGACTATTAAACAATACTTTAAAGGGGACCTTATGAGCCTTTGCTGTTTCTGGGAATTCATCTGAATGGAGACAGGTAGATGGGAGACAATAAAACTAGTGGGCTCGCTCTGGTTCAGCGACAAGGTAAAGTATTAACCACTTTCTGAAAGCTCTGAGAAACCAAGGACATACAGAACAAGACCACGTACTAAATACCTCTTCTCATAACTTCTACAGAAGAATGGCCGATTCAATTTACTCTATCATGTGGGTGTTTTACGAACTACCAGATCCACCAAGAGACCAAGATTCTGTGACCCATGAAAATCTCTTCTTCCAGCCACAAGGTACAGATAAATAAAAATACAAATTGACGAATTTCTCAGTCTGACATGACTGCTCTCAGATATAGCCGTCTTCAGTTGTTTTATTACAGCCTCTGTGCAAAACAATAGTGATGGTGGTGACGAAGTGACATCAAGAGCGCCAAAAAGAGGAAGTCAGAAAGCCCTTGGGGACAGGAATCTCCTTGTGTTGCAAACATTTCTGGTTAGAGGAAAAGATGAAGAAAACAGAATGAGTTTCTGATAGCATTGCTTCTAACACTTAATAGCTGAAAGACAGGACTTGCAGCTGGCGTAATGGCTATGTCACTGGACTCCTATGTAGTCTACCGTGGTTTGAATCCCGGACCCAGTGGCTTATACTTACACTGGGCAAGTGTGCATGCATGCCCAAGATCCCGAGAGGAGAATGGACGAGAAGGGATTGCGGCATGGCCATCCCCGTTGGGGGGGGTGATTTCTCGCTTTCTGTCTTTCTGGTGAGCACACATGCCCTATAACAAAAACCTCCCTCTCCAAAAAAAAAAAAATTAGCTGAAAGAAACTTTAATGGATAGCTAGTTTAAGTGCTGTGGAACAGCCAAGACGACGGACAGTTCTGTGTGAGACCCACTTCTGCACGAGCTACAGCACAGAACACACAAGACATGGCTAGTCAGCCCTTCCCACCCTTGTCTCTCTACGGCCTGGCCTCAGTTCTCACCATCACCACTTCCCCAGGAGAGCTCCTAGAGGCCGAGAGTCAGTAGACTATTTTGGCAGACCTACTTCGAAGGTCCAAATTATTTGTCAAGGTGAACCTCTTAAAATTTCTTGGTGCTGAGGAATAGGGGAAGAGTCCAGATGAAAGTGCAGTTTGTTCTCATGGAGAAAGTGACCATACTTACCAGTGCCTCAGAGCTGAGAGTAAGAAAAGGACCTTGGCCAACATGCACAAAATGCATTGATGAGAGAAGATTCACTAAACACATTTTATTCATCTCTTAGGATAGCTTCCTCATAGGCAAGTGATACACAGGAAGATGATAAAATGGCAGCTCTTAATCCAAAGGCCAAGGGGGGATTATAAACCAAAAGTGAGGTTTAGAAAATTAAGAGACTGCAATCAGAGCATCTGGAGCTTCAAGATTTATCAGATATGGGGACCAGCAGTTGGCGTAACGGCTATGTCAGTGGACTCCCATGTAGTCAACCATGGTTCCAGTCCCAGATCTGGTGGCTTAACTCACGCCGGGCACATGTGCATACACACCCAAGATCCCAAGAGGAGAATGGAGGAGAAGGGATTGTGGCTTGGCCATCCCCCCCAGGGGGGGTGATTTCTCACTTTCTGTCTCTGTCTTTTTGGCGAGCACATGAGCCCTATAGCAAAAACCTCTCCAAAAAAAAAAATTAAAAAGATTCATGATTCATCAGATATGGATGCATCCCAGGCCAACACTGGGACGTGCTAGACTAACGTCATCTTACCTCCAAGAACTGCTTGAGGCGTATGAAAGAACCCATCTGTCCTGAGCTTGTGATGGCTTCAATTCTTCAGAGAGAAAGAAGACACAACTATGATAAGCACCTATTTTTTGGAGCAGTATTAGGTACAACGCTGATCCGGAGTGGAGAGAGTAGATCGAATCATTCACAGGACCAGCAGACGGTGTACTGGTTATGTCGCTGGACTCCCACAGTCGACCGAGGTTTAAGTCCCGGACCCTACAGGCTTAAAACTCACATTAGGCACATGTGTGTGCATGCCCAAAATCCTGAGGGAAGAATGGAGAAGGGACTACAGCGTGGCCATGCCCCCTGGGACGTGACTTCTTGCTGTCTCTGTTGAGTACATGAACCCTATAGCGAAAATCTCCCTTGAAAAAAGGGAAAAGGGGAGGGGGCGTCGGTGGCAGCAGGTGGTGTAGTGATTAAAGGCACTGGACTCCCACATGGCCAAACGCAATTCAAGTCCTAGACCTGGTGGCTTGCTTTCTCACTCTCTCTCTCTGTGTGTCTGATCAATCTGGGAAATAATTATAATAAATAAAGATAAATAAAATAACTATTAAAAATAAAAGAAAGAAAATATCTGTGGGTTTTGCCAGGACTGTCCCCCAACTCGAAATGCCAGTGAGTTGAGAGGAAACAGAGGGTACTCAGAGGTGGATGCCACATCACAGTCAAGCAAACATTAGTTCCTCTGACTGGCTTACTGACAGGACATGACTCTGGTTTAATTATGACTATATCTAATCAACATCCCAGATTATCTGGGAGAGTTTAGAAAAAAATGATTCAAAACTCCTAGATATCTCAATTCAAGAACTTAATTTTTGTTTTTGTTTAACCGATAATATTGAAAAAAAGACTCTGTCTCATAAGAGCTGAAAAGCATTTATTCAGACATCAAAGAGAAGAGCATGATAGGAAGATGTCACACTTAATACAGGTGGAGTCTTTTGTTTTTAAAAATTTTTATTTAAACATTTCAATCTACTTTTCCTCCTTTACTCCTGTTCCTATTTATTTATTTGAATTTATTATAGGGCGCATGTACTCACTGGAGAGAGAAAAAGTGAGAGAGCATCCCCCTAGAGGGAGATGACCACACTGCAAGCTGCAGTCCCTCTTCCATTCTCCTCTTAGGGTTTGGTCATGACATGTGCACAGCGTGTTTTTCATGTTGCCGGGTCCAGCAGTTGAACTGCACAGTTGGCCACGTGGGATTCAGCTGCTTTTACTACCAAGCCACTTGGCTGACCCAATGTAGGTTTATCTAACCAGAATCAAAAGTAGCAGGGGGACTAGCAGTTAGCGTAATGGCTATGTCGCTGAACTCCCATGTAGTCAACCGCAGTTCGAGTCCCGGACTCAGTGGCTTAAACTCACGCCGGGCGCATATGCATGTGTGCCCAAGATCCCGAGAGGAGAGTGGAGGAGAAGGGATTGCAGCATCACCATGCTCTTCCTGTCTCTCTCTCACTCCCTGTCTGTGTGGCAAGCGCACAAGCCCTATAGCAAAAACCTCTCAAAAAAAAAAAAAAGTAGCATGCAATAGCACCCCAAAATATCTGATGTCTGGTTCAGGAGTTGTTTTTCTTTTGCTTATTAAAGAATCATGTATTTAACTGTATTTATTCATTCACTTATTTTAATTTGATCAGAGAGAGAGATAGGGGTTGGGGAGTGTGAAAGCAAGCCACTAGGTCCAGTACTTGAACCATGGGTGGCCATGTGGGAGTGTGGGAGTGTCCAGCACATTAACCACCATGCCACCTGCTGATCATTGGTTCAGGAGTTTGATACACTAAGTGACCCCCGTCCCCACTCAGGCATCCTGATACCTGGGGAAGTAGTCCTCTTTGATGAGCAGTAACATCTTCCAGAACTGCACCTGGTACTGCTTCATGAGGGCATTCCCACACACCTGCAGAAAAGACAGGCACTATCAGAGGAGAGAGCAAAGTATCGCGCACCCTTTGCCTTTCAACACTATTAAGAAAGTTTAAACACCGTGCCCTGGACCTAGCTGCCAAGGAAGTAAACAGAAATAGCCAACTTTCTCCTAAAGCACTTGCCTACACATGGCAATACCTCCATTCAACCAGATGGCCGGGTTTCAGGGGATTCTTCTTCACTTACTCTACTGAAAGGAAGCCCTCCTAAAGAAGTGCACCTCCCACGTTAGAAAGCAGAGGATGTATTTTTTTAGAGAATCATTTTTATTTTCAACTTTTTAAAAAAATTTATTTTATTTTTAAAGAATTATTTTATTTATTCATTCACTTATTTTAATTTGACCAGAGAGAGACAGAGATAGAGAGAGAGAGAAAGTGAGAAAGCAAGCGACCAGGTCCAGGACTCCAACTGTGGTCGACCAGTTTAGAGTGTCCAGTGGCTTAACCACCACACCACCTGCTGGTCCCCAAAATGTACTTGTGCCAGAGAGGCAGAGAGTAAGAGAGAGACGGAGAAAGGGAAAGTGAGACTACCATGCCACCTGCCAGCCCCGAGATGATGTATTAACAGAAGACCACAGGTATCCTCGACAACTCAGGATCACTGTTCAGGTCCTAGGCTTTCAGGAGCCATTACGGTGACTGGTAACTACTGGTGTCAGAGGCCAGATGGTCCCAGGTCTGTAATGGCATGTGCCTCCAAACCTTTCTCCTTTCAGAAATATCTTTCTACAGAAAACCTCACCCTCACTCAATAGACCTTTATAGGCAGACAGAACTATATAGGCCTTTAAAAAAATTATTTAATTCCATTTATTATTATTTTTTTAAGAATTACTTATATAATTTGTTTATTCATTCATTTATTTTAATTTGACCAGAGAAAGACACAGAAAGAAGGAAAGTGAAAAAGCAAGCCACCATGTCTGGGAATCGAACCATGGCCGGCCATGTTGGAATGTCCAGCGCTTTAACTGCCATGCCACCTGCTGGCCCATTACTATTATTTTTTTAAATTTGAGCAGGTAGAGACAGAGAGAAAGGGAAAGGGAGAAAGCAAGTCGCCAGGTCTAGGACTCAAACTGCAGTCGGCCATGTGGAAACCCAGCGCCCTCAACCACCACGCCACCTGCTTGCCCCTATATGGGCCTTCTAGAAAGGGTAGATACTTAACCAGAGAATCACATTTTTCTCTTCTGGGAATTAGGAATCAGAACAGTGAGATACTGGTCCCAACATACTGGGTAACTGCTAAGACTGAGCGACATAGCCTAAAATAGCCACCTTCTTCTTTTTTTCTTTTTTGGAGGGGTTTTTGCTATAAGGCACATGCACTCACCAAAAAGACAGAGAAAGACAGATAGAAAGCGAGAAATCAACCCCCCCCAGGGGGGATGGTCACGCCGCAATCCCTTCTCCTCCATTCTCCTCTCGGGATCTAGGGCACGCACGCACGCACACACACCCAGTGTGAGTTTAAGCCACCGGGCCAGGACTTGAATCGCAGTCAGCTACATGGGAGTTCGGCGACATAGCCATTACACTAACTGCTGGTCCCAATAGCCACCTTCTTTAGAGTGTCCAGAGAAAACTGGCCTACAAAGCAAAAAAGAGACACCTTGCAGGAGGAGACCTATGGAAGACTAGACTAGAGGCCCGTCCATGGCCCCACGGAGATGGTCTTGGTACCTGGAGATACTTTAGTTCCTGGTTCCAGGCTCTCATGAAATCCAACTGCACTTCCTGCTCTTGATTGTGGGATAGCTTCTATATCCCTAAAACATACCCCTTTCTCACTTATGCTAGGATGGACACGTTTCCATTTTTCATGATGAAAGCACATCTGCACAGAGGCAGTAAGAACAGGGGGAAGAAAGCACGAAGGCCAGGTTTGTCTTAAAGCTCGGGAGAAATTAATGACACTGGGACCCAGGGCTGCTCTCCATCAGGCTGCTCTGTGTGGCTTCCCCACTCGTGTCACTCCTTCGCCTAAGGCTGCCTCACCGCTGGCTTTCTCTCGTGTGAGAAGTGAAATACACACCTCCAGGAAGTCAAAGAGCAGGGTGGCTGTCACGTCAGACAGGGGCTCCATGTTTAAGATCTGTGCCAACCAGCGCCAACCATGATTTAAGCCATGAGGGTGACTCTGGAAGAGAGAAGCATGATCGTGATTTGATTATGTTTTATTCGGAGATCTAAGTTCCCATTGTTCTCATTTGGCCATCACGAGAGCCCCAGACCATCCAGCCCAAGCACACGCCACAAGGTACACAGTGCAGGGCATGAACAACACAGGCAGGACCGAGGCTGTTCTTAAATATGCCAGTACATGGAGGCCGGTAGGTGGCGTGATAGTTAAAGGCGCTGGACTCCCACATGGCCGACAGCAGTTTGAGTCCCAGACCTGGCAGCTTGCTGTCCCGCTTTCTCTCACCCTCTCCTTCTCTCCCTCTCTCTCCTGCTCACTCTATCCCTCTCCGGTCAAATTTAAATAAATAAATAAAGTTAAATAAAATAATTCTTTAAAAAACAAACCTTTCCAATACATTAGTTCCCACTCCTGCACAGGTTCCCTTTGGGACACATGTCAGTTTTACTTCTGAGGATTCTATAGGCCAACAATTACCCTTAATCAATATTGTATTTCCTATTCACAGAACCCGAGGCACAGCAGGCACATAATACAAACTTCAGATTTAATCGATTTCTCTTTAGGTTTCCAAATCCATTAACTTTTCCATCCCTTAATCTGCATTCTCTGCGGAAAGAACCACGCTGGTGGGTCAAAGCCCTGATCCTAGCTGTGGCGCTGTCACTGACAGGGTGTCCTGCTCTAGCTTTCTGAGCTCCATCTGTTCAGAAGTCCAGTACATAATCAAGATGGCTTGTTAGGCTTCAATTAGGCCTACAATGACAATTTCGTGCTCATTCCTAAGAAAATCTTCTAATTCTAATGACCAATTTATAATAAAGCTGTTACCTGGTAGACTCTGTTATAAGCCCAGTTCTTTAATGTCTCAGCTGAGTCGGCCATTTTAAAATGGCTTCTCATGATTGGGACCAGCACTTGGCATAATGGCTATGTCGCTGGACTCCAATGTGGTCAACTGCAGTTCGAATCCCAGACCCAGTAACTTAAAATCATGCTGGGTACATGCCCAAGATTTGGAGAGGAGAATGGAGAAGGGATTGTGGCATGGCCATCCGCCATGGGGGATGATTTCTCACTTTCTGTCTTTCTGGTGATTGCAAATGCCATATAGCAAAAACCTCTCCAAAAAAAAAAGGCTTCTGATGAAACAGAAAACAGTTCCCTAAAAATCAACAACTACTGGTCTAAAGACGGCCCATGAAGCTGCCACAGACTTCATCAATTAGCGGGTCTGACTCTGAGAGAAGGCCAACGTTCCCTGTGGGGAAATACAGCTGGACCAGACTGGCTGACCTCTCATTATCGAAAGCAAACTTCTTCCTACCCCTTGTCGGCTTCCATATGGCCACTGGAGCTGGATGATGGCAGCATAGAGACGGATCATCCCAGACATGCGTTTCAGAAAGTTGTCCTGTTGTTCGACTTTGGAATCCTTCACCTGGTAGCCAAGCATCCTAGTGGGAAGTACAGATCCAATGTGACAAGGCCAGAATGAGGGTGACAAATCCAAGATTGTCTGTTATGGCTAAAAGCAGAACTCTTATCAACTTATGACATATGTAAGGACGCTTTGTTCACAAAGAGCTCACATCCATCACTGAGTCTGTGTTTCGGGGAAGCACAGGTAAACTCACGGGAGGCACGGCTGTCATTACCCAATATTCCCAGTTACAAGTACGCAAGATAATGTTCAGAGAGGCTCAACGATTGGCCCGGTTTTACAAAGCAGGGATAAAATCTCATGATGCCTTGATTCTAGATTCAGTATTATTATTTTTTTAAAGAATTATTTTATTTAACTTTATTTATTTTAATTTAACCAGAAAGGGACAGAAAGAAAGAGAGAGAGAGAGAGTGGGAAAGTGTGAAAGCAAGCTGCCAGGTCTGGGATTCCAACTGTGGTTGGCCATATGGGAATCCAGCACCTTTAACCGCCATGCCACCTGCCAGCCCCAAAATTCAGTATTCGTTTCACTAAACTAAAGTGAATATCAGTACCTCAATCCATAAATTCCCAAAGCTGTCCAGTTTAGATAAAGAGATTATATTTCTGATAGGACAGTCTAGATACATAAAAGGAACTATTTAAGAAGGAAAGAAATGGATTTAAATTCTATTTTATTAATCACCCTAGGGATAATGAGAAAGGAAAAAAAACGACTTCACCTTTGATAGTCTTCCAAAGCCATGCCTTCCTTGAAAGCGGGATAGAAAGGAACAGAGTAAGGACACTTCTTGTGCAGATGAGCGAGAATGAGGTCCCCCACTCTGGGGTGGAGCTCCCAGATCCCTGATGCCACAACCGCGATGGGAAACGCTGCTTCGTGATGAGAGGCCACTTCCTCTTCACCTTGTTTCTGGGAATACAGGGTAGGTACAATTCAAAGTTAACGTTCAAGAAAGGCTGAATGCTACATACCAGCCTCTTCTTCCCATATTTCTGGCAACAAGTTTTCTTACCACAAATTTCTCTGCCAGTTTATACTGAACAAAGTCCAGCCCCTGTGGGTTAAGAGTGATGGACACAGAGCACCCACCAGACTGAACTGGCTTCCCAGAGAGCAGGCTGTGGATCTTGTCAAAGACCTCCTTCAGCTTTGAGCCTGGGCATGATACAGAGAATGTCAGTTAAAACATACAACTGTGGATCAATCTCCTTTTCATGGTTGTAGTAAGAGAGCATCTGCAGAAATCCACCCATGCTGCCCTACAAAATATAAATCGCTTGGGCGCCTGTGCGTGCGTGCCCAAGATCCCAAGAGGAGAATGGAGGAGAAGGGATTGTGGTGTGGCCATCCCCCTTGGGGGGTGATTTCTCGCTTTCTGTCTCTCTGTCTCTGTCTGTCTGGCGAGCACACGCGCCCTATAGCAAAAACCTCTCAAAAAAAAAAAAATATATAAATCGCTGATGCACAAGAATATATGGCATCGAATGCATGTCACGGATGATGCCAAAGCATACGAGTCTCTGTACTATTATTCCAAAGGAATTCCTGCTTTGGGAATGAACTAATTCTGAAACAGATACGTGTAACACAAACACAATTAGCACAGAAACTGGTGTAAAATCATGTTACAGACCCACTGAACTGTGGCTGATATACTTAGAGGAGCCAGTTGCATCTTTAAGAAAATGTTCTAAAGGACCTTCCCAACTCACGATGTTGCCCTCCTCTGAGACTTACCTTCCTCCATTCTCAAATAGCTATTCAAGGAGTTTCAGAAAGTTCACAAAGAGCTGGGCCCACGGCCTTGTGGTTAAGGGAGCTGGATCACACGTAGTCAACTGTAGTTTGAGTCCTGGCCTTGGCTTGAAAAACATGCTAGGCACATTATGTGTGTGCCCTAAATCCCAAAGGGAGTAAGAGCTGGAGGAGGGACTGTGCCATGACCATGGGGTGTGCTTTCTCACTTCCCCCTCTCTTCTCTCTCTCTCCAGCAACTGCACCTTCTGGCAAACTAGGATAAATAAATGAAGACCATCAGAAAGATAATGAATTCCTATCTGAACACACTGCACTTGAGGCAGCTGAAAGACATCTAGGCAGATAAACTGAGGCTCAGAAGAATGAACTGGAGACAGAGCTGGGAGTCACTGGTACACAGGTAATGTTTGCAGGGATGAGGAACAGAGATAAAAAAGAACTGAGGGGTAAGAGCAGACCCCCAGAAACACCTACAATTGAGGGGTAGGAGACTGAGGAACTCAAAGAGAGAGAGAAAAATATAGGAGGGCCAGGACCAGCAGATGGCATAATGGTTATTTGCTGAACTCCCATGTAATCGCCTGCATTTCGAGTCCTGGAAACAGCGGCTTAAACCTCAGGCCGTGAGCGTGTGCTTGTGTGCCCAGGATCCCAAGAGAATGGAGAAGTGACTGTGGCGTGGCCATCCCCCCTGGAGGGTGATTTCTCACCTTCTGTCTTTCTTCTCAGTCTTTCCAGCGAGTTCACGCAGCCTATAGCAAGAATCTCGGTGCCATGGAGGCCAAAAGGCCAGCATTTCAGGGAGAAGGGATTAGCCAACAGTGTGGATGGAATGGGAGAAAGGTGAGAAAGCCCTGAGATGAGGCAGGAGACCTGTAGCAGGACGAGAATGACTGAGGCATGTTTAAGGGCTGAGGGCAAAGAGCTGGGAAAGGGGTAACTGAGAAAACGGTGAGGAGGCAAAGCCTTGTAGTAGACAGGAGGGGTGGGAACAAGGGCAAGGGCAGGTGAGCAGGAGCCTCAGCCTTGGAAGAGGAGACTGAGAGGTCAATGCACTGTGCGGAGGTCGAAGGGCAGGTTGCCGAGCAGCTCACCTGCCATCTCCACTTTCTGGATGGAGGAGGCGGTGAAGCTGAGGCTGTCTGCACTCATGGAAGGCACCAGGACTCAGGACAAGCCCGAGGCAAGCAGAGACAGTGTGGACTGGCTGCGCACTTGACCTCTCTCCCTTGGCTGCTGCCAGCAAGGGTGACAGCACTTTAAATGCCACAAAGCAATACGTGCTCTTATTTACACTTTGTCCTGTTCCAGAAAGAGTTCCAGGCAGCAAAGTGATGTGGAAGTTTTGTCCTACAGCCTCTCAAGGGCAGGAACTGCAGCTCTGTTAAGCTTTTACTGGCCAGGGCAACTGGGAAGGCAGGCAGGCAGAGCAGCCTCCCAGCTGTGCCGGCTGCCCAGCCAGGGGCAGTACAGTCTCTGACATAGGGGCTTCCGCATCTATAGTTCCATACAGGTGACCCTCTTGCTCTAAAGAAGGCTCTTCTCCTTGTCTGGCTGTCACACTCCATATCTTAGTCTCTGGAATCAAAAGAAATGAGCCCTAAAGTACGAACAAGACAAATGTGGATGCTGGGAAAGCCAATGTCACAGGACAAAAGCAAAGACAAAGTCACATCCTAGGCTCCCTTAGCGAAGGGAGCAATTTTTTTCGACAGTTAAGAGCCATCCTAGGGGCCGATAAGTGGCGTGGTGGTTAAAAGCGCTGGACTCTCACATGGTCAACTGTGGTTCGAGTCCCGGACCTGGTGGTCTGCTTTCTCACTTTCTCTCTCTCTCTCTTGCTCTGTCCCTCTCTGGTCAAATTGAAATAAATGAATAAATAAGTAAAGTTAAATAAAAACAATTCTTTAAAAAAAAGAGCCATCTTGGGAACCAGCAGTTAGCATAATGGCTATGTTGCTAGATTCCCATGTAGTCGACTGTGGTTCGCGTCCTGGACCCGGTGGCTTAAATCTCACACCGGGCGTGTGTGCGTGTGTGCCCAAGATCCCAAGAGGAGAATGGAGGAGAAAGGATTGCGGCATGACCATCTCCCCTAGGGGGTGATTTCTCACTTTCTGTCTGTCTCTCTCTGTCTGTCTGGTGAGCGCATGCACCCTATAGCAAAAAATCTCTCCAAAAAAAAAAAAAAAAAGCCATCCTAAATAATTTACTACTACTAAGAACCTCATTAAAAATGAGTCCACAAACACATGATTACCTCCTATATGCTAAAAGGGTACAAGAGAGAAGAGTGGGAAAGCAGGGTGCGCATCATTATGTACCTGGTCCAATCGCCAACATTTGTTTGAACATTCTTCTTTCTTTTCTTTTTTCTTTTTTTTTAAGTTTTGCGATTGGGTGCTGTGCTTGCCAGAGATGGACAGAGAGAGGAGAGACAGTGAGAAATCACCTCCAGGAGGGATGGTCACTCCATCATCCTTCTCCACTCTCCTGTCAGGATTCCGAGTATACATGCTCCCAGCGTGTTTTGCAAGCCACCAGGTCTGTACTCAAAGCCTGAATTCAGCCACATGGGATCCAGCTGCCTCAACTAGCATGCCACCAGGGGCCCTGAACATTCCCTTTTTGTAGAAACCTTACAGGTAAGTAGATTCAGAGTCTGACAAAATCCAATAATGACGCGTAGGGCCATGCTCTGTACCCCTCGGACCGACCTGCAATGGTGGAGATCTGACTCACGGGGATGGTGGCGGCCTTCTGGAGGTCCATCTTTATCTTTTTGGCCTGCCAGACAGAACAGTGAGAAGAATCAAGTAGAGGCCACTTAGCATTAGGGAAGGCGAAACACCAGCTATGTTCCACTGGGACAGGAAGCAGTAGAAACACTACTAGGCCCGGAGAATTCCCACCATCCACCCTTCCCCTACCTGACTGTCCTTGCTGCTGGTCAGGCCTTCACAGGCCAGCAAACACTGAGCAGAAGCATCCTGCAGCTGCTGGTACCACTGCATCGTGCTGTCTTCAACCTTTACCTGGAGGTCTGAGGAATGAGTGGCTTTAATAATAGGTAGTACTGGGCCAACAGGAGGCGCGGCAGTTAAGGCACTAGATCCCATACAACCAACAACATGGTTTGAATCCTGGACCTGGCAGCTTGAAAGACATATCGGGTGCATGTCTGAGTGCCCCCAATCCCAAAAGGCAAATAGAGGGGAAGGGATTGAAAAATCCCTGTGGAGGGAGATTTTTCATTTTCCCTCTCTCTGACTCTCTCCTATGAGCACATACACCTATGGCAAAAGTCTAACAGTAAATAAGTAGATAAATAATAAGAGGTAGTATTTACTGAGCATGCACTACAAGCCAGGCTCTGTTTCAGTCACTTCACAGACTCGGTAACTTGCCCCAGTTATCACGGTTGTTATTATCTCCATTTTACAGGTACGGAAAGAGGCATAGAAGGGCTGTGATTCGCCAAGGTCACTCTGCCAGTAGGTACAGAAAAAACAGAGTCCTACGGCTCTGGACTCCACAGTCAGCATCTCCAAGACTACGCGATACTGATTCTCAGATGTAGTAAACATACACCTATCTGGCTGTTATTTATTTAAAATACTTGGCAGTGGGCCAGCAGGTGGTAACAATGGTTGAAGTGCTGGATTCCCACATAGCTGATCATGGTTCGATTCCTGAACCAGGCAGCTTGAAAATCACAACAAATAGACAAATAAATAAATAAATTCATTAAAAAGAAAAAAAATACTTGGTAGCAGCGATACTTGAATTAACAGACCAACTAAAATTAGATAGACTTTTGAGTTCTTATGGGAAATGAAGACTAAAAGCAGACTCCAATCAAAATGCAGGGAATACGTTACGTAAAAGGTCTTGTTAACTGCCCTACAATTTAACACAACCCTCATCTTCGTTTATTTTCTTTCTTGAAAGATTTTTGCTATAGGGTGTACGCATTTGATAAGAGAGACAGAGACAGAATCAGAAAGCGAGACATCACCCTGAGGGGATGGACACACCACAATCCCTCCTCCATTTTCCTTTCAGGATTTTGGGCACATATACACCTGCATCTGGCATGATTTTCAAGCCACCATATCCTGGACTCAAACTGTAGTCGACCACATGGGAGTCCAGCGCCTTAACCACTATGCGACCTACTAACCCCATACTCATTTCTTTTTCATGTTTGGAAACTTAACGCTGAGTTCAAAGACCATACTCACACCAAAACCCACCTGCGTTTGGTCTCCCTCCTGGGCCCTGGCTGGGAGCTGGGGACTCTTTGTGGGCCTCTGGCCTTCCTTGCTGCATGTGTAACTCCTGCAGCTTTACCTGGGCCTGCGCTTCATCCTGCCTCTTCTTATCCTCACAAGCTCTGGTGATCTCCTGCCCCAAGTCCATAAGCAGGTCCCGCATTTCCTGCAGAGCTCCCTCAGCCTCGGCTTGGTTCTCTGCTGTAGGATAGCCACTCTGTCAGTGAGAGAAAGCGCTCAGAGGTCGTTCCTTAGTACCCTGTGGGGTTCAACCATACCTCACAAGTCAGTAAGTTTCTAGAATGGGCGTGCTGTACCAAGGGAGTACCCACATCCAACATGTTGCTACTTCCTGCTCTCTTGTTCTCTTTAAAACACCAGTTTATTAACACATCACATGCACAGTACCAAAATAGGAGCTTCCTATGCTCTCACCAAGGGTAAAAGGAATTTTTAAAGTAGGAGACAACCTGCTAGACGAATATGATATTGAGCTAATCTGCACTGTACACACAAATGGCAATGTCGCACTTGTTTTCATATTTATAGAACAATTATGTATCTGCCTAAAAAAAAAAAAAAAAGATTTAATTTTATTATAGGGCACATGCTCTCATCAGACAGAGAAAGAAAGTAAGCTACTAGGTCCGAGACTTCGAACCATAGTTGGCCATGTGGAAATCTAATGCTTCAACCCATCAAACTACTTGCTAGGCCCCAACTTTTTTTTTTTTTAAGATACTTGTCAGAAGGCATGGGTTCTCATGAGAGAAAGAGAGAGGGAACGTGAGAACTCACTTCCCAGGGGGGATGGCCATACCACAATCCCTTCTCCTCTGTTCTCTGCAGGAATTTTGCAAACATATGCATATGTGCTTGGTGTTTTTCAAGCCATTGGGTCTAGGACTCAAACCACAGAGACAGCCATGTAGGTTACAGCACCTTAACCACCATTTCCCAAGAAGATGAATGTGTATTCAGAACAAGAGAACAATAAAGAAGAAACTGCTCTATCTAAAAAGAAAGGATCCAGGGACCAGCAGGTGGCATGGTGGTTGGGGCGCTGGGCACTCCCACATGGCTGACCGCAGTTCGAGTCCCGGACCTGGTGGCTTGCTTTCTCACTTTCCTCTCTCTCTCTGTGTCTCTCTCTGGTCAAATTAGAATGAATGAATGAATAAATAAATAAATAAGAAAAAGAAAAAAAGCAAGCAAGCATGCAGGACTAGCAGATGGCGTAATGGTTATGTCACTGGACTCCCACCTAGTCAACCACGGTTCGAGTCCTGGACCCGGTGGCTTCAAACTGAAGCTAGTATGTGTGGTGCATGCCCAAAATCCCAAGAGAAGAATGGAAAAGGGACTGAAGTGTGGCCATCCTCCCAGGGGGAGATCTCTCACTCTCTGTCTCTGTCTCTCTGGTGAGCACACACGCCCTATAGCAAAAATCTCTCTCTCTTTTTTTTTGGAGAGGTTTTTGCTACAGGGCGCATGTGCTTGCCAGAAAGACAGAGAGAGATAGAGAGACAGAAAGTGAGAGATCTCCCCCTGGGAGGATGGCCACACCTCAGTCCCTTTTCCATTCTTCTCTTGGGATTTTGGGCATGCACCACACATACTAGCTTCAGTTTGAAGCCACCGGGTCCAGGACTCGAACCGTGGTTGACTAGGTGGGAGTCCAGTGACAGCCATTACGCTGACTGCTGGTCCCGTAAAAATCTCTTAAAAAAAAAAGGGAAAGAAAGCATCAAAGATCAAAAATATTAGGCGTAGGACCAGCAGGTAGTACAATGGCTATGTCACTGGGCTCCCGTGTAGTCGATCGCAGTTTCTTTAAAAAAAAAAAAAAATCCTACAAAATAAAAACAAATTTGAGAAAAACAAAAATTAGAAAAGAATGTTCAATTTTAGCATACAATCTTTCTTCTTTAAAAAATTTTTCCTAGAGAGAATGTACACTCTCTGGAGACAGAGAGGAAAACTAAGAAAACCCCCACACAAGGGATGGCCACACTGGAACTTCTTCTCTATCTCTCACTTCTTTGGGGGTTTCTGGGCACGCACACACACATCCCTGTATCCCCTTCCCCATCTCCCACCTCTTTGGGGGTTTCTGGGCATGCACACACAGGTCCCTGTAACCCCTTTCCCATCTCCCACCTCTTTGGGGTTTTCTGGGCACGCACACACATGTCCGGCATGTTTCTCAGGTTGCCAGGTCTGGGACTCCAACAGTGGGGTTGGCCATGTGGGACCTAGCCACCTTAACCACCTCACCCCAGCTGGGCCCTAGCATGTAATTTAACAATATCTGATGAGATAATTTATGATTGAGTTCCTTTAACCTATTAGTAACATGAATTTTATGACTAGATTTTTTAAAATATTTTTATCTGGGACCAGCAGTTGGCATCATGGCTATGTTACTGAGCTCCCATGTAGTCAACCATGGTTCAAGTCCCGGACCCGGTGGCTTAAACTCAAGCTGGGCGTGTGTGTGTGCATGCCCAGGATCCCGAGAGGAGAATGGAGAAGAAGGGATTGTGGCATGGCCATCCCCCCTAGGGGGGTTATTTCTTGCTTTCTGTCTCTCTGGCGAGCGCATGTGCCCTATAGCAAAAAAATCCTCTCCAAACAAAAACAAAAACCAAAAAACTATAGAAAAAAAATCCTCTCCAAAAAAAAAAAAAAAAATTTTTTTTTTTATTTAATTTTGTTTAGTTTTATTTTAAAATTTTGACCAGAGAAAAGGAAAGCAAGAAAGCAAGCGGCCAGATCCAGGCTTAAACCATTATCAGTCATGTGGGAGTCCAGTGCCTTAACACCACGCCACCTGTCCGACGCCCATGACAAGATTTTATAACAACTGAAATAGCGTTCCACTAACAGTGTAAATGGTAAAATAAGACTGCCTTGTATCTTTGTTGTTACAGGGTGTGTGCACTCACCAGACACACGAGGAGTGGGGGATCGAAGGAAGCCTCCAACAGGGCACGGTCACACCACAGTCCATTCTCTTCCACTCCACTCCTCCCTCCTTTCAGAAGTTTGGACACGTATGTGCATGCCTGGCATGTTTTTCAAGCCACAAGGTCCAGGACTTGAACTGCACAGTTGGTCTTGTAGGGTCCAGCTCCCTTAGCCACTAAGTCAGACTAGCCTGAGAAAACTATTCACTAACATATTTACAGGACACATCATAGAATATGATGCAGAGCTTCTGAGGTCTTTTGGTAATCCTCATAATCAAATTCTGACAAAATAGGGGCTAACAGGTGGCCTGATGGTGACATTGCTGGACTCCCATGTAGTAGACTGTGGTTCAAGTCCTAGACTAGATGGCTTAAACCTCACGTCACATAGGTGTGCATGCCTGTCCATGCTGAGAGGAAAATGGAGAAGGGATTATGGTGCGGCCAACCCCCCAGTGAGTGATTTCTTGCTCTCTGTCTCTCTGTCTCTCCAGAGAGTGTACACACCCTATAGCGAATATCTCTCTCTAAAAAACAAGGGCCAGCAGATGGTGTGGTAGTTAAGGGTGCTGGATTCCCACACAGCCAACTGCAGTCTGAGTCCCAGACCTGGTGGCTTGCTTTCTCACTTTCCCTGTCTCTCTCTGGTCAAATTAAAATACATGAATAAATAAGGTTAAATAAAATAATTTAAACAAACAAACAAGGGAACCTCACACCAGGTGCATGTTCATGTGTGTCTAAGATCTCAAGAGGAGAATGGAGGAGAAGGGATGGGGTGTGGCCACCCACCCCGGGGGGTGATTTCTCGCTTTCTGTCTCTCTGTCTCCCTAGCGAGCGCGCACACCCTTTAGCAAAAATCTCTCAAGACAAAACAAGACAAAACAAAAAATCTAACAAAATAGCACAAGAAAGAAATTTGCATGGCTAGCCCCATAGCCTACGATTAAGGGAGCTGAATCCCACATGGCCAAGTACCTGGTTAGAATCCTAACCCCAAGGGCTTAAAAATAACTTTGCTTCTCAGGTAGAACATAGGCCCTCTGCAGGCACCTCACCTCTGTTGCGGCCCGAATGATCCCAGAAATGAGGCTGCACAGCTGGTTGCCCCTGGTTTGGAAGACAGTCAGATCCAGCTTCAGCAGGTCCCGGTACTGCTCGGAGCTATCCAGCTGCTGGCTGAGCTGCAGCACCTCCTCCTGCAGGGCGTAGAGGCTGCGTAGGCGCACCTGGCCTTCCTCCTTCCGCAGCCGCTCCTGCTCTGCTTGCTTCAGGCGCTGCTGCTCTGCCTCCCGCAGCTTCAGGTTAAGAATCTACAAAAAAGGCCCAAGTTACTGCTTTCTTCAGTCATGCCCAGGCTTTCTGTCTACACTGCTCACATCCTAGGAGGGCTCAGAGCAGGAAAAGGACCTCCCAAGGGGCAGATAGGGGCCAGCTTGTCCATGACAACTCCCCAAGCAGGTTGCAGACAGACCCCAAACACCCACAGATTCTCAGGGCTCTGACCTTGGCTCTGTGCCGATGCTCAGCTTTTAGCTTCTCTTGGTGACCCAGGGCTTCTCTGGAACTGGACGAAAAATGGAGGGACCAGTAGTCAGGGATGCTTCCTAAAACCGCTTTCCTCTCCTAATAGCTTCTCTGTGTTACTGTGCTCATTTTCCCAACCTATAAGCCTCACTGCCTATTTTCTTTTCTATCTAAGGACTCAGAAGTTCACCTCATCCCCTGTGGGATTCCTCTTGGGAAAGAATTCCAGTGGTCCACACCAACATTTCTAGTCATGATTAAGGGAGATTTACCTCTGCTCCATCACTTCCTGTAAGTCCTGGAACTCTTTGTGCTGCTTCAGTTCCTTCCGTTCATCAAACCGCTTCAGCTGTTCGGATGCCATCTCCGAGAGGGCTCGCACCCGTCTCTCCTGCTCCTCCTGCCACTGCCTCAGGCCCTCCTAGAAAACACCAGCACCTGCTCCGGAAGTTCCATCGCCACCTTGCTCATCCAGCTCTGTGGGCTACTCTCCCATCAGTCCCTGACGCCGAATTCCCATAACCTTCTGATTGTATTTTACTTCTTTAGCTTGTTTACTTCTGTCTCTCTCCAGCAGAATATAAGCTCCATGAGGACACAGGTGTGTGTCCACTTTGTTTGTGTTTTATCTAGACTCAGAACAGCATTTAGTACATCCATGCTCAATAATCACCTGCTTACTCAAAGATTAAATGAGTAAAGACTTTTTATAAATGCGGGGATAGTCCTGTGGCTTAGTGGCTAAGGCAGTCAGATTCTATATAGCCAAATGAGCAATTTGAATCCCAGACCCTGTGGCTTGAAAAATACACCAGGCATGTGTGCTTGTGAGCCCCAAATCCTGACGGGATGGAGAAATGCAGGAGAAAGGATGAGGGCATGACCACACCCCACTAGGAGGTACTTTTCTCCCTCCATCTGTCTGTCTCTTTCTGGTAATCATGCATGCCCTTTAGCAATAAATTTTCAAAAAATATTTTAATTAGGAAATTCTACACTCTGAATAATTTTTACAAAACCATGAGTTGTTTTCTAATTAACAAGTCAAACTACTGAAAACAATGCTATCTTCTTTTAAGCTGTTAATGTCCCATCTTCTCAATATAAATTGTAATTTTTCCATAGTCAAATGTAAAACAGAACACCAGGGTTTGTAGCCAGATTTGACTTCAGAGTGCTCACCCCCCCTTTTTAAGAGGGATTTTTTGTTATAGAGTGCAGGCAAAAAATGAGACAGACTGGCAAGTGCACGCGCCCTATAGCAAAAACCTCTCCAACAAACAAACAAAAACCACAAACAAACAAACAAAAAAATGAGACAGAGACAGAGAAACAGAAAGTGAGAAATCACCCCCCAAGGGGGGTGGCCATGCCACAATCCCTTTTCCTCCATTCTTCTCTGGGATTTTGGCCCTGCACGCACATGCATCCAGACTGAGTTTCAAGCCGCGAGGTCCAGGACTCAAACTGCAGTTGACTACATGGGAGTCCAGCAACCTAACCATTCCATCTGCTGGTCCCTTACCCTTTTGTTTTTAATGCCAGAGAGGACACATGCATGCATGCATGAGTGTTTCCACAAACACACACAAAGCACACATTGCCAGGTCATGCCACAGTTCCTTTTCCCTCCAATTCTCCATTTTTTTTTTTGGAGAGGTTTTTCGCTATAGGGCGCGTGCGCTTGCTAGACAGACAGAGAGAGACATAGAGACAGAAAGCAAGAAATCACCCCCCAGGGGGGATGGTCACGCCGCAATCCCTTCTCCTCCATTCTCCTCTGGGGATCTTGGGCACACACGCACATGCGCCCAGTGTGAGTTTTAAGCCACCGGGTCCGGGACGCGAACCGAGGTCGACTACGTGGGAGTCCAGTGACACCTCCAATTCTCCATTCTGTTAGAATTTTGGGTATGCATGCCTACCTGGTATGTTTTTCAAGGCTCTATGGCCAGGACTCAAACCCTGGTTAGTCATGTGGGATCCAGTTTCCTATGCAGCTTTTAACCGCTGCACTATGGGGCTGGCCTGGCCTTGGAGTGCTCACTCTTGACCTTTGCATTATACTTCCTCCCATTCAACGGTGAGCTCCTCGCACGTGGGACAGAGAGATCAGCACACAGTGGGCATACCCAAGCCCTGGGGACCTGGAGTTACATGAGGCTTCCTCAGGTCACACCCGTGTCGACTCCAGGGGTCACTTACTGTTCCTTTCATTCTGTGCAACAGCTCATACATCCGGATGCAGCCTTCCACTTTGATCCCCCGGGGGGACTGAAGTACCATAGGTTCTGTAAGCTGGGACTCATGTTTGTCCTACATAAACAGAAAATAATTAAGTTTTATCCTGATAAAACGGGTGTCATCTCTTTTAGACAAAGATCACATTTCAACTGAGAAACCACCACCAGTAATAACAGTAACAAAATTCAGGTTAGAACCAGTGTGCTCCTCATGATGTTAACCTTGTCCTGTTTCCTTTAATTAATGATGTCTGTTATTTTGGGTGTCTTTTTCTTTTAATTATTTAATTTTATTTATTATTATTTGTTAATTTGACCAGGGAGACAAAAACAGAGAGAGAGAAGGAAAGTGAGAAAGCAAGCTGCAAGGTCCAAGACTGAAACTGTGGTCAGCCATGTAGGAGTCCAGCACCCTTAACCACCATGCCACCTGCTGGCTCCCCACTGTCTGTTTTATTTTGGGGGAGGGAGGAGAGGTTTTTGATATAGAGCACGTGCACTCGCCAGAAAGAGACAGAAAGCGAGAAATCATCTACGAGGGGGAGATGGTCATGCTGCAATCCTTTCTCTTCCATTCACCTCTCAGGATCTTGGCACGCACATGCGCTGGGTATAAGTTTAAGCCACTGGGTCTGAGACCTGAACCGCAGTAGACTACATGGGAGTCCAGTGATATAGTCATTACACCAACTGCTGGTTCCCTGTGTGTGTGTGTGTGTGTGTGTGTGTGTTTGGTTTTTTTTTAATATTCTGTTTCTCTTGGTATTGGCTTGCTTGTTTCTCATAGGCAGCAGGATTTAGTCCCAAGTGTACCATGGTCCCCAGCCCACATCATCCAATTTCCACATTCCTGGCCTCAGGAGTCAGCATGTGACTGGCCTAGGGTCTCAGTACTCCATCTTCTTGTCCGTGCCTACCTAAGCAATGAGACATATGACCTAAGCTATGATTCTGTTTTTGAACTCTTCTGACAGAGCTATCCAGAAGGCTCATTTTCAGGGGACACTAACCTAAGAGGATGTGAGTGTAGGCCTACCATTAGCTATCTTATTACACAGAGTCTCTCTGAAAAATGAAACCAAGGGACCAGCAGGTGGAGTGGTGGTTAAGGTACTGCACAGTCCTACACAGCTGACCACAGTTCAAGTCCTGGACCTGGTGGCTTGCTTTCTCACTTTCTCTCTCTTTCTCTCTCTATGGTCAAATTAAAATAAATGAATGAATAAAATTAAATAATTTTTAAAAATGAAACCAAGAAAAGTTAGACAGAATTAATAAATGTAAAAGCAAAGTCCTGTGTTTGAGTCACTGGATCAAGTTAAAGATAGTATCAATGGGAACCAGCAGTTAGCGTAATGGCTATGTCGCTGGACTCCCACGTAGTCGACCGCGGTTCGTATCCCGGACCCGGTGGCTTAAAACTCACGCCGGGCGCGTGTGCATGCGTGCCCAAGATCCCGAGAGGAGAATGGAGGAGAAGGGATTGCGGCGTGACCATCCCCCCGGGGGGTGATTTCTCGCTTTCTGTCTCTATGTCTCTCTCTGTCTGTCTGGCGAGCGCACGCGCCCTATAGTGAAAATCTCTCCAAAAAAAAAAAAAAAAAAGATAGTATCAAGTGGAATGCAGAATTTTTTAGATCTGATTCCAAATGCACTCCTAGAATTCCAGGTTATAAGATCTAATTCCTGGACCAGCAGTTAGCGTAATGGCTACGTCACTGAACTCTCATGTAGCCGACCACGGTTTGAGTCCCAGACCCGGTGGCTTAAACTCATGCCAGGCGCGTGTGCGTGCGTGCCCAAGATCCCGAGAGGAGAATGGAGGAGAAGGGACTGTGGCATGGGCCATCCCTCCTAGGGGGTGATTTTTCGCTTTCTGTCTCTCTGTCTTTCTGGTGAGTGCATATGCCCTATAGCAAAAAAAAAAAAAAAACTCAAAAAACAAAAAGAGCTAATTCTTTTCCCATTCCTTGTCTGGCTTAAGTTAAACTGAGTTTCTCAAACTGAAATACTAAAAATTCCTAAATGATGCAATATCCAATGAAATAAAACCATCCAAGAATTTATCTAAACTCTGAGAATTATAGAATTTTACACCTGGAGATTCTCAGCAATTTAGTCCAGTATCAGATTTAGAAAGGAAGAAACTGAGGCCTACAGAAGACAAGGGCATGCCACAATCCAGCACACTCGAGTAGAAACTGCGGCCTATGAAAAGCTGCTCATGGGAACATTTCTTATTTCTTTTTTAAAATTTGTTCTAGGGGGATCAGCAGCTGGAGTAATGGCTACATCGCTGGACTCCCATGTAATCGACCACAGTGAGCCCCAGACCCAGTGGCTTAAACTCACGCTGGGTGTGTGTGCGTGCATGCCCAAGATCCCGAAAGGAGAATGAAGAAGGGATTGTGGTGTGGCCATCCCTCCTTGGGGGGGGGGGAGTTGCTTCTTTTTTTTTTTTTTTGTGGAGAGGTTTTTGCTACAGCCACACTGTAATCCCTTTTCTTCCCTTCTCCCCTCAGGATCTTGTGTGCACACACACTGTTTCTTAAGCTACTGGGTCTGAGACTTGAACCACACTATTGGCCATGTGGGATCCAACTGCCTTAACTACCACACTATGAGCTGGCCCTAATTCCACCTTTCTAAAAAGCTGTCGAATTTGTTAATACAAAAATCTAGAATTTCATAAAGCACAAAGCAGCTTTTCTAGTTAATTCTCTATGTTTTAGGTCAAATGCAACTCCTTATAGCTCACTCTGATTTAGAAAGAGCTTGCTTGAGCTTATAAAGAAACTTAAGACCTAAGGGGCTGGCAGATGGCATGACTGTTACAGTGCTGGATCTGATATGGCTGACTCTGAGGTTTGAGTCCCAGACCCAGCAGCTTGAAGGACATGCCAGGTGCATATGTATACTTACCCAAAATCCCAAGAGGAGAATGAAAGAGGAACTGTAGTGAGGCCATTTTCCCTGGGAGGTGATTTCTCACTTTCCCTCTCTGTATCTCTCTGGCAAGTACATATGTCTTATAACAAAAGCTTAAAAAAAATCTCAGGACCAGCAGTTGGCATAATGGCTATGTCACTGGACTCCCATGTAGTCAACTGTGGTTTGAGTCCCACACCCGGTGGCTTAAACTCACTCCGGACACGTGTGCATGGGTGCCCAAGATCCAAGAGGAGAATGGAGGAAAAGGGATTGTGGTGTGGCCATCCCCCCGGAAGGTGATTTCTCGATTTCTTGCTGTCTGTTCTCTATCTTTCTGGCATGCGCTCTCGCCCTATAGCAAAAACCTCTCCAAAAAAAAAAAAAAAAAGGGAATACAGGGAACATCTCCCTTCTCTCCTGGGCCTTCATAGACAGAACATTCAGTGATGTAGTAAACACTGTCCCATAACCAACTGCTACAAGACCCAATCATCATTTTCCCCAAAGTTAGGTCACTGTCCTATGGTAACATTAAACACTGCAACTTTGCATCTACCAAGTCTTTTGTCTTAAGCTGATTAAAACCATACCTTGGTTCCATTTGCTGCTGAAGAGGAGGCTAGTGACAAGGCAGAGTTTCTGATGGGAGATTTGGGAATAACTGAGGTTTGTTCTGTGGCTGAAGCTGATGGAGAGGAAGAAGTCTCCGAGGAAGGTGGGGTCACTTGCGTATGAGGTAGGACATGATCTACCACCCATCCAGAGTAAGAAGACAGCTTGGGAAGAGACATACATTCTTCTAAAACATCCTAGAGAGAAGAAGAGGGTAAAGTCCAACTTGTATGTTCACTACATGCCTTGTTAAACCTCTAAGAAGCCTAACTATGTACATAAATCTCAAAGACCTGGCCAGCAGGTGGTGTGGCGAAGGCTGTGGACTCCCACATGGCTGACCACTGTTTTGAATCCTGGACCTGGTGTCTTGCTTTCTCACTTTCTTGCTCTCTCTCCATCTCTGTCTCTCTCTGATGAGCTTGCATACCCTATAGCAAATTAAAAAATAATAATAATAACAAAAAATAAAATAAATAATTTTTAAAAACCCTCAAAGACCCAAAGTAATTGTACTAATAATCAGAGATGAAAATACAGTGCAGCAGTGGAGCCAGCACGTGGTGTGGTGATTAAGGCGCTAGATCTCACATGGCTGATGTTGTGGTTAGACTCCCAGGCCCAGTGGCCTAAAAAACATGCTGAGTGTGCGTGCCCAAAATCCTGAAAGGAGAATGGAGAAGGGATTGCCGCATGGCCATCCTCTCTGGAGAATTTCTCATTTCTCCTCTCTTTCTTCTCTCTCCAGGGAACACATGTACCTCTGGGGGGTGGGAGGGGGTAAGGCCTCTTTGGAAAAATGGATGACTCCAGGGTTGGAGCAGGAAAGTACAACTTGTACCTTAGATACCTCATGCTAAAAAAGAAAAAGATGGTGGGCCAGCAGGTGGCATGGTAGTTAAGGCACTGGACTTCCACAGGGCCAACCATGGCTCAAGTCCCAGAGCTCGTGGCTTGCTTTCTCACTTTCCTTTTCTCTCTCTGGTCAAATTAAAAAGTAAATAATAGGGGCCAGCAGATGGCATAATGATTATGTCACTGGACCCAACATAGTCAATCTCAGTTCGAGTCCCTGACCTGGGGGCTTAAACTCATGCTTGGCATGTATGTGTGCATGCCCAAGATCCCCAGAGGAGAATGGAGGAGAAGGGATTGCGGCGTGACCATCCCTCCTGTGGGGTGATTTCTTGCTTTCTGTTTGTCTTTCTCTGTCTCTCTGGTGAGTGTACATGCCCCACAGCAAAAATTTCTCTTAAAAAAAATGAGGGGGAACCAACAGCGTAATGGCTATGTCGCTGGACTCCCACGTAGTCGACCAAGGTTTGCATCCCGGACCTGGTGGCTTAAAACTCACGCAGGGCGCGTGTGCGTGCGTGCCCAAGATCCCGAGAGGAGAATGGAAGAAAAGGGATTGCGGCGTGACCATCCCTCCTGTGGGGTGATTTCTTGCTTTCTGTCTCTCTGTCTGTCTGGCGAGTGCATGTGCCCTATAGTGAAAATCTCTCCAAAAAAAAAAAAAGTTTAAAAAAAATGAGGTCAGCAGGTGGCATGGTGGTTAAGGGCACTGGACTTCCACACAGACAACTGTGATTCGAGTTCTGGACCTTGTGACTTGCTTTCTCACTTTCCTTCTCTCTCTCACTCTGACACTCTCTGATCAAATTAAAATAAAGAAATGGACCAGTAGATGGCATAATGGCTATGTCGCTGAACTCCCATGTAGTCGGCTGCGGTTTGAGTCCCAGACCTGGTGGCTTAAACTCATGCCAGGTATGTGTGCGTGTGTGCCCAAGATCCCGAGAGGAGAGTGGAGAAGGGATTGCGGCATGGCCATCCCTCCTGTGGGTGATTTCTCGCTTTCTGTCTCTCTGTCTCTGTCTTTGTGGCAAGTGCACGTGTCCTATGGCAAAAACCTCTCAAAAAAAAAAAAACAAAACACTAAATAAAGTTAAATAAAATAATTCATTAAAAAATAAAAAAAAGAGGGGCCAGCAGATAGTGTGGTAATTAAAGGCACTGGATTCCCACATGGCAGACAGTGGTTAGAGTCCTGGATCTGGTGGCTTGCTTTCTCCCTTTTTCTCTCTGGTCAAATTTAAAAAAATATAATAACAAATGGAAATAAATAAATCATTCTTTAAAAAAAAATAAAATAGGGACCAGCAGTTGGCCTAATGGCTATGTTGCTGGACTCCCATGTAATCGACCGAAGTTTGAGTCCCCAACCCAGTGGCTTAAACTCACACTGGGCGTATGTGCGTATGTGCCCAAGATCACGGGAGAATGGAGGAGAAGGGACTGCGGCGTGGCCACAAAAACACGTCTTCTGTCTGTCTGTCTTTCTGGAGAGTGCAACATGCCCTACGGCGAAAACCTTAAAAAAATAATAATAATAAATAAAAATGGGCGTGAAAGACTGGGAAATACTTCAGAACTACTTGTCACGGATGTCTGAAGAGGCAAGATGTCTCATCTGTAGTGGGGTCACTAGGCCCGCAGCTCTGCCTCCGCTGTCTCCACATCCCTGTCACCACTGCAAATACTAGATACCGTGATTAAACCACTAACTTTCTCGTCCACACATTTTTGTCTACAACTGGCCATTTCCCTGGCAGCCACGGGCTAGGGCGTGCTAAATATTCGCCCCTAAGCCTGGAGCTCCCCGCACAAGACACACGCAATAAATGAACCGAGCCTCCGAGGCCAGGGTTGCTTTGACAGCAGGGGAGGAGGCGCCTCTCTCTGAACGGGGGTGGCAATGGTGCCTTCAGGGGGAAGACCCCCTTCCCAAGCACCCAGCACAGGCTGGAGAGGGCTAAAACCCTAGGGCTTAAAAATGTACACACAGAAGTCGAGGAAGAAAAGCGAGCTGCGGGCGCACGGTGTCCCGGCGCGGGGCGTGCCCAGGCTGGGAAGGGCGGGCAGGGCCTACCGCGAGCCAGCGCCCAC